TCCACCTCCTCGTGTCCTCTCTCCCAAGATGCCCAGAATACAATGCCCTCTGTATGCTACAGAGCCTGTATTCCTGTATCCCATTCCTGGAGGGAGGCTGTCAGGCTGTGACCAGTGTACGGTGGAATGGAGCTTTTGCGGAGATGGCCTGGCCCCCTGGGAGGCAGGCTCAGAGGGCGGTCACTGCGCCAGCACAGTGGCTGAGACACCACCTGCACAGCAGGGGCATCCCCCCTCTCAAAACGCTCACTCGAGCTCACTGGGGAGAGCTTTGAGGAAGGACTTTGAACTCTACCCAGATCTCAGGACCCTGATCAGTGATTTACGGCCTGAGGCCAGTCACCCTACTCTCCCCCCTGTGTGGGTGCCCCAGGGTCTGCAGCCCATCCATCTGTTTTCTGCTGGAAGGGGGCCTGCTGCTTGCTCTTCCTTCGTGCCTTTTCTTTGGCTGGAGGTTCCCGCCTGAGAGCATTCTCCCACGGTCAGTGTCCACACGGACGGGCCTGTGACACCATAGGCACGCTTCACACCTGGTCCCCGTTCTCGCCGCCTCTGCCCAGATGGTCTGGCCGCACCTGAGGTGGACTCCTTGACCTCCACACACCTCCGCTGTGCATCAGGGTCACTAGATGTCATTGGAGGGAACTCGTTGAGGGAGGACGGCCCCCAGGGCGAGCCCTCTGGACTTGGTTAATGACAGAGTTGTGTAAAGTTGACTTCAGGGTCATGGAAGAGCTCAGATTGGGGCACGAAGGGTTCCTCCAGCCTCCGTAGATCCAGTAAGTCCGGGCTCTGTTTGAAATTCTGTTCCATATAATGACCCAAACCATTCCCTGCTGCAGGGTCAGTTCTGACTCACAGTGACCCTATAGGACAGGGTAGAACTGCTCCTGTGAGTTCTGAGGCTGTAGCTCTTTATGGGACTAGACAGCCTCGTCTTCCTCCTGTGGAGTGGCTGGGGGTTTCGAACCGCTAACCTTGCATTTAGCAGCGGAAGACTTAACTACTATCCCAGCAGGGCTCCTAGCCACAGAGTGTCCCTGGTTTAATCGGAGTTCCTCCATGGATTCTCTGATCAATGACACTCAGTCGTGGCAGCTGGGCACCACCCAACCTCTCTGGTCTCCTGACAAAGCATGCAGTACTTGACCACGGAGGCAGTGCAACCCGCAGGCCAGTTCTCCTCCAGTTCCCGAGTCTCCCTCCTCTGCCACTGCAGGAGCCAGGAAGCCAAAACCAAAGCCATGCCCTCGCGCCCACTCCGATGCGCAGAGGGGAACTGCTCCTGTGGGTTTCCGAGATGGAATCTTCCCAGGAGCACACAGCCTCAACCTTCTCCCACAGAGCCACCGGTGGGTCTGAACCACTGAGCTTGTGGTTTGCAGCCTCAGTGCTGAATCAGCTGAGCCCCCAGGGGAGCTTCACGCCAGGAATAGAGACTAGTTATGTTTCTCTTGCCGGTAAAGAGGCTTTTTGTTATAGATGTGTTTCCTTACGTCTGCATCTTCGGGGAGGGTAAAGGTTGAACGTTCTCTGAGTGTCGGGTGAGAAGTAAGTTCGAGTCCACTCACAGAGGACTCAGCAGAGAGGCTTGAAGGTCTATTCCCCAAACATCCGCCATGGGAAGCCCTGGAGCGCAGCTCTGCTCTGATCCCATGGGGACTCCGGGTCCAGAGTCGATGCGATGGCAACTGGTCTCTTCTGGTATTTACGAAGTACCTCTTCTCGTGTAATGAGCCATGGTGGTGCTGTGGGCTAGACATTGGGCCGCTAACGGCAAGGCTGGCAGTTCAAACCCACCAGCCACTCCCATAGAGATGGGCAGTGCTTCTGGGCCCTGTGGGGTCGCTACAGGTCACTGTGAACCCACTGGATGGCGGTGGGTTAGGCTTGGATGGGGTGCGTTCTATTTTCCACGATTTAGAAGCAAACAACAGAAGGAGGACGGCAGCTCATACACCATTGGAGTCAACGTCCAGTTGGCAGGACGGTCCCCTCTGCTGCCTGAGAGGATGGAGTAGCTGGAGGGCCGGGCTCCTCCCCCGTGCCCCTCCCCCCTCACCTGTGTGCCCCCCCCCCCCTCCAGGCCTACATCCAGATCACCTTTGTGGAGCCTTACTTCGATGAGTACGAGATGAAAGACAGGGTGACCTACTTTGAGAAGAACTTCCACCTGCGGCGATTCGTGTACACGACGCCCTTCACCCTGGAGGGCCGGCCCCGGGGGGACCTGCAGGAGCAGTACCAGCGCAACACGGTGCTCACCACGGGGCGCGCCTTCCCCTACATCAAGACCCGCATTGGCGTCATCCAGAAGGAGGAGGTGGGTCCTGCGCCCTGGGCGGTCCTGCCCTGTGTGCACCGAAGGGTGCCATGGGCCTGCACCAACATGGCGGCTGCGGGCACAGTGCTGTGCCTCCTGCCCGGCGTAACCCCCCCACCCCCACCCCATCATGCACTGTCCGGTTCCCTTTTGCTTTCTGTGGGGCGGAGTGAGAGCAACAGGGGCAGAGCAGAATCCAGGGCACACACACACACACCCTGCTAATATCCTCAGCTGCCCTGCTCCCACACCTCATGTAACTGGAATCTCCTGACCTCCCTCCACCCAGACATTCTGCTGGGCTCTCCTAGATCAGCACTTTTCCTACCCACACCCACAGTGACCTCACTCCCACCCAATTTAATTAGGTGAGGTCATTAAAATAACAAGTGTCCTTGGCATCGGCTGGAGCCAGCACTGACAGACGCGCCCCCGGCACCCACCCGCATGGGGCAGGAGCTGCGGTGAGGGCCCCCCAGAGGCTGGGGCGGCTGGAGCGAGGGAGGGCGGGTCCATCGGATAAGAAGGCATCCGCTCATTGTTTGGAACGTGTAGCACTTGGGCTGGGAAGAAACTCAGACCCCTGTCTGCATGACCGCATGCTGCTGTGACCGCGGTTCCGCACAGATCTGAGCAAGCACAGATGGGTTTGCACAGCTTAGGGGCTGGGAGGCAGCTTCAGAGCTCCAGCTAGCCCGAGCTCGCTCACTCGCTCACTGGCTCACTCGCTCACTGGCTCTCTCGCGCTCTCTGCGGGCTCTGGGGGAAGGACCTTGTCTCCTTTCAGCATCTGTGGGCCCCCCGGGAGAGCTCCATGTGTCTTGGCATCCGTGTTCTCCCGGGTTCGGGAGGTTCTCCGCACAGGGACTCGGTCCAAAGCCTGCCCTCTGCCCCCGGACCTTCTTTCCTGACTCTAGATCCCGCACATCTCTGCTCCTCGCTTGCTGCTTCTCTTTGACGTGCCAAAAGAGATTGGCTCTAGGCAGGACCCCATGCTGCCTCTCTAACCGCGTCTAATGCTGCCTCATGCCTGCCACGAGGCGCCAGGTCACGGCGGCTCAGACAGTGACATGAGGTCACACGGTGGAGGGCGAGTGCGTGCTACTGCGTGCGAGCGAATCACGGTCCTGCCAGGTTGACGCACGGTTGTTTGTTTGCTTGTTTTGGTGGGGGACACAGTTCAATCCTGAACAATCCCAAAACGTCTCTCCACAATTTTTCTTGGCTACATGTCCTTCTCCATAAACGTTAGGAATATCTGAAATCCTGGGGCAACCGAGGGCCCTACCTGACGCCCCCTGGCTCCCCTTTGCCGTGTGGCCCCTTCTTGTTCCATCCACTGACACCAAAGGTTCCTCCCATGCCAGTCCACATCCTTGCTGGGCCGCCCCCACGCAGCAACCACGCAGACCTTCCAGACAAGACTCACAACGGAGGGGGCTTGTGAAGGAAGTCGAGGGGGACCACAAGGCAACAGGAAACACAGTCATTGATCTCCTCAGCCTCTCCCTCCTGTTCTCCTGATCTTTGCCCCCCATGGGCCGAGAAGGCAGCCTACCTGTTCCTCTGTCCCGCATTCCCAACATGTTGGGCCCCATGTCTCAGCGCTGCTCCTCCTCCGAGCCTCAGTGCCAACATCTCTGGTGCAGCAGATCTTGGGTTTGCTCCCCAGGGTCCTGGGGTTCCTCTCACTGCTGCTGCTGCTGCTGCTTCAAAGATGGCTCAGACTTACAGCTGGGGGGGATGGTGGTGGTGGTGGAAATGAAAACTGGCCAGCCCCCTCTCCTAGTGCTACACACACCCTGTTTGCATAGCCCCTAATCATTTAGGGGGGTGACCCAGACTTGGATAGAAGAGCTGTACTAAGAAAGTTCACCCCACCTCAGGACCTTACCCCAAACCAGCAGACCTTAGCCACTAGCCTACTGGCCCTCGCCAGCACGCTGTTTCCCAGGACTTGACCTCCAGGCTGACCTGGGAGAGCCCCCGGGGTCGGGGAGGGAGCCTTGGGCCTGTGCTTTAGTATCCCTGCCCAGGGCACGTCCATTACCTTGGTCAGCCCAGCAGGAGACCTTGCTTCTTGCCTAGAGAGAAGGCGACCTCACCGGCATTCACCGGTGGCGGCAGACATAGACGGGCCCACTGCGCATGTTACCCGTGTCTGTTTGGAGACCTCATGCTCTTAGCTTAGCTAGATGCCCACGGCCCCACGTGTCACGGCATGGGGCCGCCCACGGGCTTTCCCAATGAGGTTTGGGGTTTTTAAAATCATTTTTATTGGGTGCTTTTACAACTCTCATAGCATCCCATACATACATGGTATCAAGCACATTTGTACAGAGGTTACCACCATCGTTTCCGAACCATTTT